AGCATAAAAGCTTCAGAATAAACTGTTCTAAAACCACGCCAGCTATCCCAAATGATATTCAGCTGTATACATAGTAAGTCAGCAATAAGTAAAAAACAACACTTAAAACTTTTGTCTTAAAGGAAAATGTCCTGACTTAAAGTAAGACTTAGAGAGTTTATTTAAGATACTAGAGAAAATAAAGATCTCAGAGAGATCTGATAACATATGCCTACACAGCACTTGGAACTCCAGAGTACCCTGTTGCATATACTATAATAAATATTTGCAGTTTGTGTTCAGTCTGCGCTCCTCACCTGAAGTCTGGAGTCTCCTACAAAATATGTTGTCAATTTTTTAACCAAAAGGTACAACATCTTACTATTTTTGCTCAGAGCAATTTTATTTACTGTTTTAAATGTGTTAATTTCTATATATAGATTTGTGTCTATTTGTAGAGCTTTGTTCCCTTATTTTTATTTCATGGTTATAGCATGGCTTCAGTGATCAGATTTTCTTTGTGGAAGGGCTAATAGGGAAAAAATGTTCCATTTGATATATAATAGCTGTGGCAATTCCAAAGAGGCCTCAGGGATTCTACAGCCTTTCTGTGCCCAGATTCTTTTTATAAACATTGGTGTAAGTAGAAAGAAAAAGAACAAGTAAAATTTCATTCTGACAGTTTCTGAGGCTGCACAAGAACCAAGGGTTATGTTCTGAGAATGGCTTTCCAAAGCTAAAATTTACTTTTCACCATGACAGAGTCAATGTTTTATCAAACCCTCCCCTCATGGTTGTTTTACCAAGCGTGGCTCATAGTAATGGTTACTTACCCTAGTTTTCTGTAGTAGTTTCTAGACAAAGAGGCCAATTGAAAGGGAACAAGGGAGAATCCTGTCAGCCTCTCTTCACAAAAATGAAATTCAAAGACTAGTCAGAGTCCTTAAGTACCTAAAGGCACCTTTGTGAATGCCCTGCTCAATTTTCAGGCTTTTGGTCATTTTAAAGGTGACATCACTTGAGAATTCCAGAATTACTATAGACCCTAATACCCATTCATTTCAATACCTATTCAGACTTCAGATATATCTACTCAACCAGATATCATTCAGTCTGTCCTACATGCTTTTAAAGTTCTGGTTCAAAGCCCTGTTGTAAAAACTCCAATTTAACCTCTTAAGGTTATTGGAGGTTAAGGTGTCTTTGAACATTTTCTCCAAGCCTGATGTCGAGATGGAAGTTTTGCTGATCCAGAGTTGCTTTTGCTGTGTGGGAACATGCTGTATGGGAATATGCTGCGTGGGACCTGAGAGGTGACAAAAGACCCTACATGGTGTAGACTAGAGCACTGTGGAAGGGAGGACCAAGGAGAAAAAGCATTTTTTAGGGTAGGCTCAAAATGAAGCAGCCCAGTTTCTTCTCTGTGTTTCCCTTGTCCTACATGTATGGCACTCAACCAAGAGAGTTTTGTTGCCAGAGTAAGATTTTCAGCTTCAACAGTGTTTTCAAGTGACAACACACCAAGAACAAACCTCATGTTATGCCATGTTCCCATGTGAGATGTTGAGTGTCTCAGCTCCTAGTAACTTCAGTGCAAGTTCTAAGTATCTATTCTTAGTCACTTTAATTAAGAGCTGAGATACTCCCAGATGATGATTTGTTAAGAGCTAAATCACCTTTCAGAAATGGCTATTCTTCTTCACTTACCACAGGAGTCCAGATGTATTATGGCTCAGTTGGCTTTATAAAGCTGGATGCACATTGCTGTAAGCAGTATTTAGGCCCTGAAATTTTTGGTTTCCTTTTCCCAGAACATTTTCTCTCCAACAACACCGCATACATTGGCATTCTTTCCTAGAAAAACACAATATTTAATTGCAGTGCCTGATGAGTTTGATCGCTAGCTGTCTCAATAAAATATGCAAATGCAGAGTCATTTCAATGCAAACCACCTTTAAATAAAAATGGTAAGATAAATGCAATCAAGTTACAATTACTTTTTTAAGAGAGCACATTACACACATTCAGTAAATATAATTATTTCTGAAACTGCCTGCATATAACTGAAAAGCAGAGTAGAAAATGTGCCGAGTACAGTCATGACATTAGAGAAGACTTGGGTTTCCAAGATTCTCAGCTACTGCATATATTACTCTTTGCACTGCCACTTCTCTATCACGATTCAGTGTTCAGGTCAAAGAGTAATTATAACTTTATTTTCAGAACAAGAGTTGATAGCTGAGCATTTCTCATGAAATCATTCGAAGTTAAAAGTATAAATTTTTATTCTTCTCCTGCTCTCTAGAAAGACAATAAAGTGCAGTGCTGAGATATTGATCTTCCCTGCACATGAGCAAGACTGGGGGTCATAATTCCCCTGAGTTGAAGCCCTCTGATTTACGGTGCTCTTGCCCCTGTCTGTAAGCAGTGGAGATTAACTCTGTGCTGTGGGAAATCCCTGCAGAACATTTATTATAAGCACAATGTTGTATATTAATTATCTTTTTGGAGGGCAGGTATGCTATTCTGTTTCCTTTTTTTTTTTTTTCTGACACAATTTCTGTTGCTAGAAACAGTGTTTGAAACCAGCATTGTCTCTGGATTGAAGAAAGTGAAATGAAGGTTCTTTTTTGAAGGAAAAGGATTAACTTCCAGCAGTTGTTTGAACCATTGCCAGATCATCCTTATAAGGTTCTTAACATTTTAAGATATTTCTTTTATTTCTTTTAACATCCAGGAAATCCCAAGACTGAAAATGTGTAAAGTGTTTTGGGGTACTGTATGTCCTCAATGAACAAAACCACAATTCAGATGGAAAGCATTTATTTATACGTAAAGATCTTGCTTGAACTCAGAAAGTCTTCAATTTTCTGTTTCTTAACCTTTACAGGTTTCTTAAGTGCTGTCCTGAATAGCTATGGACAAGGGCTCCAGTTTACACAAGCACTTTAGCATATGGTTCATAATAGTTCATTTTAAGCACACTAGTCTTCTTGACCTCACTGAGACTGGCTGTGAGATGAAAGCTAATTGCTGTTTGTAATATTTGGGCTCCACTGCAATCCATGGAACCTGTTTAGTCAACTTCAAAGAGGTCCCAGTTTTACTCCAGGCATTTTGCTGCTTTAGAGACCCCTGTCTTCTTCTCAATGTTAGGTATGTTAGTAGCACAGTATATTTTATTTTATTTTATTTTATTTTATTTTATTTTATTTTATTTTATTTTATTTTATTTTATTTTATTTTATTTTACCTTCTGCTGTTTTCTCCTGTAAAAAAATTTGTGCACTCTTGAGGATTAATTTATTTAACTCTTTGTCCTCCGTTATTCTGCCCCTCGTCTTTGTGTACTTCCTCAACTTTTATTAATACTGGAAGGGATTAATTTTAAGATTCATGTAGAATTTTATGTCCCAGTGGAGCATGGAATGTTACGTTCAGTTCCTTTCAGTTTTCAAGTTGTTCTACTGATGTATTAAAGCCTACAGGGAATGGTTCTTACTTAATTATGAACCTCATTTTCAACCTTGTATAGTCAGAAGAAAAAAAAAAAAAGCTTTATTAGGATTTGTTTGAATTTTAATGCAGCTGTTAAACAATACTGTAAAATTTATATATAAATATAAACCTCTCTTCAATACTAGTTTTCTCACCTGGATCAGCTGAAAAAAAAAAAAAAGAGTTAAAATGACAGGTATATATGTGTATATCTTAATTCCATAAGAACAGCTATCTGAAGAATTTCTGTGTCTGGACACTGGTATTTGGGGGTTCATATATTCTCTCTCTCTCTCTCTTTTTTTTTTTTTTTTTTCAATCTTCCTTCCTTTGCTTTTTTCTTCTCCCAAAGAACACATTACTGAAAGTGATGTTTCTACTCCACTTTGTCTCTTTGTCTCTTGGTACCTTTTCTTCTCATCATTCATGACAGCACTTTAAAACTCCAGTAGTAATTTTTTTTTCAGAGCACCACATGAACTTTTCATTGAGTGAAGGTCAAAACTGAGTTGGAGAACAGATGGAGCATGGAAAGATGAACCTTTGCCACCCACTGAGCATTAACACCTGCTTATTTGTTACATCTGCCTGCTACAGCTTAGATGCTCCTGAAAATTTTACCCAAGTGATTTAGGACTTGCTATTGGACTGAGTGCAAATGCCATTTGTGAAAGTGTTTTTGTTTTTATCTTTTTACTCAAGCTGTGCATTCTTTGGGGGTGTCAATTAACATCATGTGTTTAGAGTCTAACAAAGGGATTTTGTTGAGATGTTATTGAAGTAAAATGTAAAGATTAACAGCAAGACAGCACTAAATGTAAAGTGTGAATTTTAAGAAGGTAGGGAGATTCAGGATCTCTTTTGATTTTGTACAATGGGGGAGTCTACATCCCCTTGGAGCCCAGTTGCACATAACAGTTTTCTCTGAAGATTTCAGTGAAGATGGAATAAGAGTAGTTTGTCTTCACCCGTCTACTCCAAGTGAAGGCTTCTCCACCACATAATCAGTGGGGAAACTAATGATCCTTTCTGATCAGTTCATTCTTTTATCTTGTTTGTAGTCTTGCTGTTTTTCAGTACTAACTCTCAGAAAACTGCTTATTGGGAAGAGACATGATCCTAGATCAGGAATTTTACCTGTGTTTTACAGTAGTGGGCCCTAGATTTGAGTACTTATATTTAGAGTAACTACCAACTGTATTTTAGCATGAAAATTTAAGCAGTCATACATTGAACTACTCTAGATCAGGAAACAGAAAAATGATATAATGTCACACTAAAGCAAGCAGTATTGGGTATTCTTGTTCAAATCTAGAAGGGTGTATGTCAGAAGAAAACTTGCCTGTTGTCCGGAAAACTGTTATTTATTCCACAGGTATCCTAAACAATTTTAAACATCTGTTTTATATCATAAAAATCCAGTAAGATCAAATAGTAATGAGGTATTTCTAACCTTACTTCAAGTTATGTGAAATTCTAAATCTCCAAGAATAAAACCAACATTCTTTTCTGTTCTTCTGCAGGTTGAGAAACACTAATTATAAAAACATGCATCGAAGGCACACAACCCTTCGGGAGAAGGGCCGGAGGCAGGCCATTCGGGGTCCAGCCTACATGTTCAATGAGAAAGGCACCAGCCTGACTGCAGAAGAGGAACGTTTTCTCGATTCTGCAGAATATGGCAACATTCCAGTTGTCCGAAAAATGCTGGAGGAATCCAAAACCTTGAACTTTAATTGTGTTGATTATATGGGACAAAATGCCCTACAGTTAGCTGTAGGGAATGAGCATCTGGAAGTGACGGAGCTCCTCCTCAAAAAGGAGAATCTAGCTCGAGTTGGGGATGCACTTTTGTTAGCCATCAGTAAAGGATATGTGCGCATAGTCGAAGCAATATTGAATCATCCAGCCTTTGCACAAGGGCAACGTCTCACACTCAGCCCCCTTGAGCAGGAACTGAGAGATGATGATTTTTATGCCTATGATGAAGATGGAACTAGGTTCTCCCATGACATTACCCCCATCATACTTGCTGCCCACTGCCAGGAGTATGAAATTGTTCACATCTTACTACTAAAAGGCGCACGGATTGAAAGGCCACATGACTATTTTTGCAAGTGCAACGAATGTATTGAGAAACAGAGGAAAGACTCCTTTAGTCACTCTCGATCAAGAATGAATGCCTACAAAGGATTAGCCAGTGCTGCTTATTTGTCTCTTTCCAGTGAAGACCCTGTCCTTACTGCTTTAGAATTAAGCAATGAATTGGCCAGACTAGCCAACATTGAAACTGAATTTAAGGTAATTTACTACCATGGCTTTATCCTTGGTTTGAATGTGTTCAGAGTACTGTATATTTCATATGTCTGATCAAGTCTTGGCTTGCAGTCTTGGGGGGAGGAAACAAGCAATAAAATCTGTCATATGCATTCTCCAGATAATAAATATTTAGGACTGAATATTGCTTATTTTAACAGAGCCATCCTTACTTGGAATTTTTATTTTGTTTATTGTGATTACTTAGAATCTTTAGCTTGCAGCAGGAATAAAAATCAAATTATTTTATTCCAAAAATGAAGACCCATTTCCTGTAAGAAAGGTAAGTCTTTCTTAATTGATTTTTAATCTGTTTTAGAGACAAAGATCAACAGATTGTCTTAATTGATTAAGAATTCAGCATATCTAGTTGTGTTACAATGACAAAAAGTGTAAATTCAGCACTTTTGCTTTTCTGCAAAACAATTCAAATTGCGTGAATGATGAATTGATGACTGATGAATATCATGAAAAAGGAGGGGGGAAATGATAAAGAGGTTGTTATGGAGTTTATTATCGTGCCAAACATAACAGTGACACTTGCAGAACTCTTTGACATGTTCTTCAAGATTTGCATTATCATAACAAGTTTGTAAATATCCAATGTCATTTGCATTATTTCACTAAGTCATGTACATGGGATAAATAGTATTGTCTTCCTTTATAACATAAATTAATCATGGAAAAAATCATTTTCAGTGGCACAGTCATCAAGTTAAGACTGTTTTCTGACTTATAACTACTGTGCAGCTACACTCATGATCAATGACTCTGGGGTAATAGAGTCTATGTTGTGGGTAAACTGGGGCAGGATGCCTGTCAGGAATCCATTATTTTCAATTTAGTAAACTATTCAAGCGTTAAAGCATTCCTTTCAAGGTATACAGCTATATGCTCTCTAATTTAAGAGTGACAAGAAGCATGCTCTCAAGCTGTTACACTTGAAACTTTGTAGTAAGTCTGTAATAGGGGAGAAATACCCAAACCACAGACCTTTTTAGGCAACAAAATTAGGAAAGATCTTGCAAACTCTTTTTCGCCTTGTGAATCAGAATTGGAAAGACATAACATTTTAAAAGAAAGTTTTTACCCATGTAACATTCAGTCCTGGAAAAGCAGCTAACAACATTAATATCTCATTAATGTTCCAGCTTCTTTTTAGTAGGAAAGCATATCCTGTGTGAAGCATGAGAAGTCTCCGTATTGCATGTCTGTCATCTCTGAAAAGTGGCTTGTTGCAAAAAAACAAGTCTACCAGAATCCTTCCTTTTGTTCATAGAGCTGCCAACATAGTTGAGACTGGCACTGGCAGATACATGAATCCTCTGGGAGCAAACAAGATCTTGAGTGTTGAATAGTCTCATGGTGGTTAGCCTACAGCTCCCCAGGCTGACAAATAGAATAAATCAATAGAGGAAAATCATTAAAAATCCTTTGCCATTTTTTTTTTTTTTGTATTTCCAGGAAGGTTTTCCAATTTTCATTGCCTTATTAGAAGGTTCTGTATGTTAGTGAGGTACCTCAGCAGTAGTGCACTTCAAAATTTTCATATTCTTTTAATATATTTACATTTCCAGAAATAGGAAACATCTCAATATTATAATGTATTCTCATTGTAGGAAAAGAAATTAAGATGTATGTATTTATTCAAAAATATTTATTCTTATTAATATAATCATTGTGGTACAGAAAAGGGTATTAATACAAGCAGTGTTTTTTATTGTTTTATTTTTTTTTTTACAGAAAATTATAGGATTTTATTTCTAGAAAATATAACATTTTCAGGAAAATGTATTTAAGAAGTTCACAAATGGTGAAAAATTTATGAAATCAGACAAGTTCCAGAGGGCTTCTTTTGTGTGTGCTTTTAAAAAAATATTTTCCCCAACCTTTTACTTTTTCTTTCTTTTTTTTTTTTTTTTTGAAGTTCTGTAATTACCATCAGCCCAGAGAACTCAACATTTCTCATGCAGGATATCTTCACAGCCAGGTGACTCCTCTAAGACTGAAATGTTAATAGCAGAGATAACAGAACCATTTTTATAGTTTCATTGATCCCCTTGGCAGATTAAATTTCTAGGAAAACATCTGCAGGAAGTGTCCTTGCAACTACTTTTAAGAGCAGCAGCAGGCTTACACGTAATATTACTCTACATGGCCTGAAAACTGACAGAAAGGCAGGATAGCAGCTGTGTTTATTTACTCTTTTCTTAAAGCTGTGACTGTGAACTCCTGGTTCTGATGGGATCCTACTCTACACCCAGGTCTGTGTTACAACCTTCCATGCTCCCAAAATAAACTACATTCTTCAAGATCAGGAGATGTCCTTGTGATGAAGACCATCAGCCAATTCATTCCATTTAGCAATCCAGGCAAATTAAATTACAGAATCACAAAGTAGGCTATGAAAATATCTCACCAATTGTAAGTGGTAAATAAGATCTCAGGTCCTGTTGATTAAAATGTTACTGAAAGCATGATCAAAAACACCACCTGGAAGACATATGGTGTGTGGTCTTTCTTTATCAATCCTACCAATGTTGTCAGTTCATTTACTATAGCATGTGTTTTGTTTCTAAATGATATGCCTCCTGCTGTTGTTCTTTTGCCTGTTGTCCTTTCTTTATAAAATGCTGAGATCCAAAATTGACCATGTATTTGTGGAATGTCCAGGCTGATGGGCTGCAACTGGCTGCTGCCCTATTTTGAGGAACAATGGCTCTTGTGACAGCAAGTCAAGTGTGTAGATGCCTACAGAGATATGCCTGCTAGGAACTGCTTGTCGTTTCAGTGGGGCTGCAGTAATGTGAGACAGCTGAGGCTCAAAATACTAAATCCTCACGGTATCAAAAAAGAGTGGTAAAACAGCCCAGGAGTCTCAATGGCTTGTATCAGTTAGGGATGATCTGGTATCCCCACAATTAAACTCTTTTTCCAGTAACACCACCTTTTTTCTACCTAAATTTTTAACTTCACAAGAAGTACTTGACCTAAACATTTTATGAAAAATGACCTTATAAAGTTGTTCAGGATTTCTGGCTTTAGCTGTGTAAATGAGGAACTTGGATCAGATCCTGTACCACTTTTTATTTATTTATTTATTTTTCTATATGGAATGTAAAAATAATGTGAAGTTCTAAGAAAACTTGGAAAGAAGAGCTGACTGAAAAGATGAATCTCTGCAGTCCTGAATGGGAAATATTTTGGCATAAAAACATATGGAGTTAGGAAAATAAATAATTATTTATACTATTGCTTTTTGAAATGAATGATAAGAAAATGGAAAAGAGCAGAAAACTTGTGGAGGCAAAATAGCTGGGAGAGGAAGCATTTTGTGAGAAGGGAAATAGCAACAAAAAAAATACTGAAAACCGTCCAGATGATAAACAATAAGATGCTACTTTGAAATTGGAAGGAAGATTATTTGCTGCCTATCCAAACTGAAGAAACCCTTAGACCTTTTTGCTCTCAGAACAGACTGATTGGAGACAGCCCCTGAGATTCATCTTCCATTAAAAAAAAGACACTGTTGTGGGAACTTTCCTAATTAGCTTCATGAACACTCTTGCAAATCAATTGCTTAATTTTTCTACTCTGACCTGCTCTTCCTTGAGTGATCCTTTTATCCCTCCATAATCCCTTGCCTTGACATACTCTCTGGCAAGCATCTTACTTCAGATATGTTCAGAAACACCTTTTATTAGTCATATTTATTAATTCAGCAAGATGGTTTTTGAGACTTTAGTGTTTTTATGTGGAGTTACTTTAGATTTTCATTTAATTTTCCAGCATTTTTGTTCTTTTTATTATTTTTTTTTTCAGTCAGATGGGACCTGTGCTTTTAAAAAGACATCTTTTCACTTGTGCAGCCTTTTTGCTGCTTCTCTTTGTTGGGTTTTAAGAAGAGAAGACAGAAGAAACTTCTAAAATCTAGTCCCATAGGTGGAATATACTCACTCCCTTTTTCAACAATTTTATTTTTTCCTCCACAAATACAATTAATTTATCTAGTTCGTATTTTGAAAAGTAAGACTTGCCATTATAAATTCTTTCAAGTAAAAATGGTCACAATTCCCAAGTGATTGTTTCTTGCACCAGCTCTGTGCACACTGCAGTGGAATGGTTATTTCTCTTCCTGGGGATTCTCCGGCAACTGCTCCAAAGAGCATCTGCTCAGGAGTGAAAAACACTTCTCACTGCATCCCTTTCCTCTGCTGCCTCTTGTGACTCATTGCTAAATTTCCTATTGAGAGAACAGGCCAGCAGGTTATTCAGCTTTATCCAAAATTAATGCCTGATGACACTGACCTTTGATGTGGCTGGGCCAAAACATCCCTTTCAGATGCCTGTTGATCTGCAGTCTGTGTTGTAATTAGCTTGTTCTGTTGTCTCTGTGCTACATCAATTATCTTTGGCTCCTCTAAGGGAAATCCCTGCTGCCTTAGAGGCCATCTTGGTACCAAAGTCAAAAGGATGACTCACTTTATGATTTATTTTTTTACTCAAGTATGGCCCCTGAGAAAGAAGAAAAATCAATACAAAGCTAAATGCATTTATACTTCTAATACACAAGACTTGTACACTTCTGTAGAAATGATGAAAGCTCTTATGTTTTAAAGTATGCTTGTAACTTATAATCTTTTTTTTCAAGTTTTTTTTTTTGGGGGGGGGGGCATTATAAACATTTCAAGGTCAGTCTTTAATGAGAACATTATTTGTTCTTAGAGGTGAGGTTAGGGATGTGGTTTGGTATTTTTTAACTTTAGAAAATAATTGTCCCTTTTCTTTTTCACTCTCACCTAAAAGCCCTTTAACCTTACTGCCTTGAAAACATATATTTAAAAGCTATTGGTCTTTTTTTTTTCTTTCTTTCTTTTTTCATTTTGCAGATGCATAAAAGGTATAACCAATTACTCAGCTCATAGTACAGGAAACAATCAAGTCCCAGTAAAGCAGAAAAAACAAATTTCCTATTATTAAAATTT